ACTCTCTCTCTCTCTCTCTCTCTCTCTCTCTCTCTCTCTCTCTCTCTCTCTCTCTGTTTCTCTTTTGATTATTTTTCATTCGTAGGTTATTGACCAATTTTTTGTTAGAGATGATATATTATATTATCTAGAGATGAAAAATATTTTGTATTTAAAAAATTAAAAAAGAATTTATATCGTAGGCATTAAATAAGAAAATGTCACTTGCATATCTAACCTCTTCAATTACGAAACACGAGTATATTTCCTGTTTCGTAATTCTTTCTAAATAAATATCTGTTTGAACTATCAAACGCTTTTCTATAATACTTTCACTTTATGCCAAAAATATTCGTTCATCGTTTAGAAGGCAATATTCATGCATAATTCAATTCTTCTAGCAAAATCCATGTAACTTATGTTGGTGAAGATGCATGCAGATTTTTCTCAAACAGGATATTATTACTCTGGCAAAGTTTCCTATTAACATAAAAAATTTTTATGATACATTCTTCGAAACGACATTGTTTATATAATAAATAAATAAATATATAATAAAATTCATTTAATATTTAATTAATTTAATATTTAATTTTAATTTCATTTCATTTAATGACACTAAAAATCTTAATTTGATAAATATATCTCGAAAGGATTAATCTTCTCGCATCGATCTCTTTACGTAATAGATCTTACTTTCTACTACATAATTTTGCATAATGGAAATTATTTTCTAGACAATCGAATTAGTTCTTACTTCGACCACTGTTCCGCCACTGTTTTCCTTCCGCCCTGATAAAAATTCTAGGCTAATAAACCGTATACCGTTGTATTTCTCCCGGAAATATACCGTCGCGCATGAATACATTCTTTGACGTGGCTGGATCCGGAAGTTCTGCCACAATAATGGAGAAAAACTATTATTAAAATGGTTGATTAGTGGGAAAACGAGATGGAGAAACGTTCTTCGACGTAACCTCGAATCGAAGAAAAAGGAACAAATTATGCGCGTGGAAAAGAAGTAAAAGGAGGCTGTTGTGGCTGAAAAAAAAAAAACATGGAAAAATTATTCTAGAAAAACTGGTCGTTTCACGAGTTGACGTTGGTTAATATATATTATAGTCGTGAGTATTTTTTCAAACGCTAAAGAGAAGCTAAATTTTTCGATCGAATTTTATATCGTACGGCTGATTTGAAAGAAATAAATTATATAATTAATCTTGTTTACCAAACATCACAAAAATAATCAAAGAGAAAATTTTCTTTGAAAATTATTTCTCGACAAACAACATTCATAGAACATTCGAGCGAGAAAAAGACACGAGGCGGACAGAAGAAGAAAAAGGAAGTGGCACGTATCTCGTAAACGTCTGGTTTATTACACGACTTTTGACTTGGAACGTTGTACTTCACGTGGAAGGAGAGGGATCTATCGCGAAACAACCGTGTGTATATCTCGTTACTGGATCTAGGAAGGCTGTATGTCGATACAGCCCCGATCAGGAAGAAAATGAAACGGTGAAACGTGACATTTACACATTTTGTCGTAGCGCCAGTCTGGTATGCGATAAAATTTTCTACAACCAAACCTGTTGCACTTCTCAGCCAACTCTCGTAATTTCTTCGTATTATCACGTAACGCAAATACGAGGATTAAAGTAACAAATAGATCGGTTACGAAAAAAGAATTGTTCATTCTAAGAAAGATTGAGAACCACTGTTAACCTGTCTGCTTGAAAACATGCAAAAAAAAAAAGCGAAAAGAAAAATTCGATCGAAATTGCACATAATCTCGTCTATTTACTTTTGAATGAACTGAATCGAGACATGGTTTTCTGAAATATTACGGTTTTCTAACCGGTGGAAAGTTGATTTCAATAAGAATGACGAGATATTTATTGAGAAAGTGCACGCATTAAGCTCACGGTCCGTGGATCGATTTAGAAAATTTTCTTGTGGAAAAGCATATGGAAAGACCTTTCTCTTCGAATATTTCGCGCGAAACAACGTTATGTGATGTTGCATACGTTCCATTCTATTAGATATGGACGTTATACATTCTTAAAGAGTTATGTATAACTAATTCTGTCATGTTTCTAAGACACAACAGTCTGTATATGATCTTTGGAATCGATGAATAGCATTTGTGATCCAAGCAGTGACATTTGTGATATTTATGGAATAATAAAATATATTTGAATAGATGTAGGTAAAGAAGAACATAAAAGAAATAATTGTCGAACATTAGGAAAGGATGAAAGAAATGAATAGTTCATAATAAACTGCACGTGTTGCTTATGGAACACAATTAGAGATTTTATAGATACTCGCCTTTGATTCTTATTGCTTAGATCTAACAATCTACCGCGAACACTTACCTCTTTACAAGGAGTCGTAAAGGAAGGGAAAGTATTCCAGTGCCTCTACACTAGTAATAAGAATCTCTGTTGCGTAACCTAACCTAGCTTAACCAGTGATGCGTCCACCTACAAAGTCAACAAATAATTTTAACATTTGTCCGTTAAATATTAATAAATATTCATTTCCACATTGATGATTCAAATAAAATAATTATTACAACCATTTATTATTAAGATGAAGTTCGTTATTCGTCAGTTTCATTTTCTCGATTATCACTTGTTTCTCACTTCTCGTCGCTCTCTTAATCAGTCACGCAAGGAGTTAAACATTGAATGCAGGAGGCCACGTGCGGAAAAGATTTCTGGCACGCGAGGTAAACTAATTATTCCAAGCCGGTACATTGTTGCATTGGGAGCAACATTCTGTCGAGCATTCTAAAGTTTTCAAATGACGGCGCAGTGTTTGGAAAGGCGCTGGTGTTGCGCTTGTTTCTCCTCGACAAATTTCACGATTTGTATATTTAACTCTGAAAATTCTCTGAAAAATGGTACATAAGAAAAATTAAGAAACAAAATAATTTTTTGTAAATTTATTTGTATTATTCTATAGTCAAATTGCGATTCTTCGAAATTCTTCATGGTCTCCATTTACTTTATTATTTATTATACGTAATTCTGAATAATGATATGAAAGAAAATTATGTATCTTTTTGGGATGATAATTTTATTATATAAATTTATTAATTTATTTTTTCTTTTATAAGCACATGTTTGTATCTAATTCTCGATCATTTTTAATAGATGATATTTGGTTTATTATATTAAAGCCAAATAAATCATATATTAATAAATAACAAATTTTATTTCAAATATATATAATATCCAAAAAGAACAAGTAAAAAAAATGAAAGATTAATTTGTCTATTTTATTAGTAAACATATCAATGATTATATTTGAAAAATTCATCATCTCCTTTTTATTTCTATCAAATTCTAATTTAAAAAAGCGACTGAACTTATATAAATTTTAAACATCATTCAAAATGATTATTCTGTTTTATACTTCGTAGAAGTGCAGGCATCCTTGACATTCAACCGTTTATGTTTTAACCACACCGTCAAGGATGGTGTTGAAAGGAAAACAAAGAGAAAAAAAAATAACAAATGATTTCATTCGAAAGCAAGCTGCATCTTGAAGCTCGTTCACGGACACAACTGCTTTAATCAGTGATCGAGATTCAATTCGAGACGTCATTTCGATTTTCTTTTGTTCGCTTTGCATTCCAAAAAAAGTGAAAGGAATACTGATCGACATCCTCGATCAAACAAAAACCCCGAAATCGGGGAAAAAGCGGATAACAATCTCGTTTTATTTAACTTAACCTAATCTAACCTAATCGTGAATCACGTAGAATCGCAATATGCCGCGTGTCAAATTTTTATTCGTGAATTTCCATTTATAAAAGAAATCAGAATCTTGAGAATTTTTAGGAAAAAAAAATTGAAGAAAATCGCTTGTACTGTTGAGACGACTATTAATTCCAAACAGGAATGAAATTCACAGAATCTTTCTTAAAATCCTTTCATGTTACATTTTTTTCGGTGGAATATTGATCGTTAATCTTGTTATTCTATTTTTCTTTTTCCTTTTTCGTTTACGCATCATTCGATTACATTACTGTATAATCAAACTGGGATGTAGAAAACGAGCATCGTACGACGATCGATAATCAACACGTTCGTTCCTCGAGAAAGTCGTCGGGCAACTATCGTAATACTTATCTCCTATCTTCCTACTTCCTCGTCCAATTTCGATCGTTCGAAATCGAAGTTTCGTTGATTCGATTGAACGAAGGATGGGAACGGCGTTAGAGCAAAACTTGAGCGTTGTTCGATTTGACGAGGGGGGAAGAGACGGGTTGAAGGTTGCAAGTCAAGGCTAGGCACTTTCACTCGAGACCATGCTCTCTTGGGAGCGAGCTACGAGCTACCTTCCCACCTTATTTTACTATTTACTTTTCTAACCGATCCCTCGACCGAATTGCGCCCATTAACCGAGATGTTACTACGTGTAATCTTTTGCGATTGCATCGCTGTGTCTTCGCGTAAATTAATTTCACGACACCGATTGCAGGACCGCGTTCCATTTCGACAATTAACCTCTATCGGGATGAGCACAGGTTTGACTGCATTATATTTCGATATCACTGAAATTAATGAATGGACTAGGAACGAGTGGAATTTCAAATTTCAAAAGGTTTCTATCCATTCCTTTGAAAAATTTTTTGTCGATTATTTTCAATTATCGAAATTGTAAGATAACCGAATTATTCGAGTATGTATCGAGTCTTTAGAAAGAATTTCGTGATTAAAACGATTACTTCTTCGAAAAATCTTCTCGGCTTGTCGATTATTTTCAGTTATCAATATCGAAATTCTAAAATAATTGATTTTTTCGAGTAGAGTATATCGAATCTTCAAAAAGTGAATTTTTCGAAAAAGATATTTACATGAACGAGTTGAAATTGGATAGAATCATTCACGGGGAAATGATGTATTCGAGAAAGAAAAAGATATTTTGATATATTTTAATCTCCTTAGTTAATATCTCGCGATATTCTAGTTGTAATTTTATTTCGCATAAATTTATTCCGAGAGAATGTTAGTAACATGCGCAATAAATTAGATACATAAGCAAGTTTTCATATTCCTGTGTAATACATCGCATATTATCATGATTTATCAACAAGAATCAGATTTCGAGATAGATTACTTACGTGGCACTGGTATAATTTCTTTCACAATGTTTTCTTCCTCTTCAATTTTCTTATAAAAAAAAAAAACCAATTGCGATGACCCAAGTGTTACGTGATCATTGTGTGCGTTTGGAAAGTTATTTTGTAACGCGTTACGTGCATAGTGTAACGTTTACCACTAGCCAAACGATTTGAAAGAGGAGAAACTTGATTATTTTAGCAGTTGGCAGCTATTACTGTACGAACACGTTTCGCTTAACAACGATTGATCATAGACATCTTTGATTGGTTGAAAAAATTGAACAGGAAAGATCGATGAATATTTCTTGCAAATTACGTATATGCTTTTTAAGAACGAATATTATTAGCATGTATGTACTTTTTAATCAAGAATAAACAGTCAAACAGGATAATGTTTACGATAAAGTTTATTCCATGCAGGGAGATATCGACGAGAAGAAGATCGTGACTGGTTGGCGAATATCGATGTTGGCCAATGAACGATGAGTCAGAAACGTTCGATCTGATCAGGCAGAAGAAATCGTGTTACTATGCCTCACGGTCGGCGGGAACGTGTTCCTGAATCGAAAGAAGAGAACACGAAACGTGTATCGTCGTGCAACTTGATATTTAGTCGCGATCCGTTTGGTCTTCTCAATGGAGATTACGCATAATTTCCTGCTTGTTTGGAAAACCGTGCAACGACACTCTTTCATCCGCTATGTCTACAATGGATTGAAAAATGCGTTTGATTTTCGCCGCCAAACGTTTCGTAATTGGTATTCGTTAATGGTTAACAACCGTCATTTTCATTGAATTGTAGATTTATTCTTTGGGATCGCATATAGACATCTTATGAATTATGAAAATTATAGGTTTTAAAAAAATAAAGTTTAAACATTGATTTCCAATTTGAAAAGGTTATTTACATTCTTTTTCGAATTACCAAATGGAGAGTATAATAGATATAAATCCAATCTTCTTTAAAAATGAATAAGTGGTTTAACTAACTGGAACAATTAAACAAAATGATGAATTTCATATTATTTATGATTATTGAGAAAATGTTTTTGATTAATATTGCAATTCGTTCGTCGAGTTACAATCATTTATAAATAAATATACCAAGCGTTAAAAATCTAAATTATCATTACTTTCATCCTTACTGTATTTCACTTATAACATTTTCACTACTGCATAATAATCGAAATAATACGTAAAATAGATATAATAATAGCGTTACAAATTTCTTTATCGTTTCTCTTGATAAATAAATTAAGTGATTGCTTTCATTTTCGACTAACAAATAATGACATTTACGTTAGTTAATTACTAGAAAATATACGATAAATCATTTTCTCTGCTGCATAATAATCGAAATATACTTTCAATTTTGATCTTATTCTTAAAAATATATATTTTATTTACATTTTCATAGATAAAGATATATATTTATTTTTACATCTCTTTAATTACAATCATTTAAATCATTGTTTTAATACTCAACTGACAAATAATGATACATTAATTAATTACCAGAGAAAATTATTCGAAACACACGATCAAATATAAATTGTTTCAACGTTTTTTCTGCTGCATAATAATAATAATAATCGATACACAAACAATTTGAATCTTGTTCTTAAAAATACACATTCCATTTACATGTTCGCAGGATCGCAGGGGCAGAAACAACAGCAAGAAGATCCTTGCCAAACGAAATCCAGGGTGGTCGGTGACATAGAGTATTGCGACCGTTATTGGGAATGCGTGAACGGTCGTCCAGAATTATTCGACTGTCCAAACGGTCTTGTTTTCGCTGGCAAGCATCGAGGCGTGACCGAGGGCTGCGACTATCCTTGGAGAGCGAACTATTGCGACGGAAAGCGGCAAGCGAATCCACCGATCCCTGCCGAGCATTGCGACTGGCTCTACGGTATATTTGGCCACGAGACTTCCTGTACGCGGTACTGGACCTGTTGGAACGGAACCGCCACGGAACAACTGTGCATCGGTGGACTTTTGTACAACGAGAGGGCAAGATCTTGTGATTGGCCCGAGAATGTGGAAGGATGTCAAAAGCATCGTGAGTAAATCTATAGATGATAAGATTTGAGAAGAAATTTTAAAAAGTTTTCAATTTAGCTTTAGCTTAAAGTTCTTTCTTCTTTTTTTTTTTTTAATAATATTATATTTTTAATAACATAATGCAAGATAGTTCACTCGTGAAATGATTTTAGAGAAAAGTTGAATACGAACAACGAAGCATTTATGAATATTCTTAATGATTCTTAATTTCGTTGGTACGTAGAGTGGTATATAAGCATGAGATAAAATTTTAAATCGAAAAATGTTCAGAATTAAATTTTTAATTTCATTGCTGTAAAAAGATCTTTCAATATATTTTTATTAAAATCAGAATTTTTAAATTAAGATATTTCCAATTAAAACGTACGAATAAAATCTCTTTCGTACGTACACAATCTTGTACAACGAGAAGATGTAATGAATGTTAAGTTTAACGCAGAGACTACCGAGAAACGAAAAATCGATGTCTCATACACTTTTTCTACCGATACAAGCCTCTCAATTACCCGATTCACGGAATTCTTCGTCCTCTTTTTCTCTCTTTCTCTCTCTCTCCTCTCTTTCGCGAAACTCGTTGCCAGAGGGGATCATTCTCACTTTCGAAAGTGAGCATGTAAGAGTAGTAGATATACTCTGTGTGCGAGCCACGATGTCACTGGCCTCCACGGTGGAAAAGAGGCGAGTCGTTAATTAGCATTCGAGGCGAGCTCGCCTTCGCGTCTGCCCCACGCGTCGTCGTCGTCGTCGTCTCGACGATGACCGTGCACCCATGACAAATCGAGAAGAAGTTTCATTCGCGGTGATTTATCCGCGAGAAAATTAATCTTGGAATATTTCGTTTCAATCTTTCGATTGAATGAACATATTTGAACTGAGAATAAAATTGAAAGATAAAATTATTTTCAAAATGCACTATCGATAAATTTGCTTATTAAAAAATCGAAATGCTATTTCGAAAGCCTTTTGATTAATATCATATTCTTCGATAATAAGATTTTAATTATCAATTTAAATTCTACCTTACCTTCTACCTTAATTTTAATCCGAAAATACTATCCGTTTGTTACTAATTTAATACTAATACTTTGATATCGAATCCTTCGATTATATAAATACTCGTTATATTTTCTTAACGCTACACGACACAAATATGCATATATCATAATATTCTATTTGCATCGTCCAAATCAGAGTATATTTCATTTATAATCCTTTTATTTCGACAGCCCTCTGCAACGACGACGCGAACGGGAACGTTCCTCTGGGCAAATCGTGCAATCGTTACTGGCAATGTCAAGGTGGATACCCGCGATTGCAGAGATGCCCCGCGATGCTGGTGTTCGATCGAAGGTCGCTGAGGTGCGTCGTCCCGCCCACCGAAGACTGTGACGTGCCCACGACCCCACCCAACCTCGAGGGCGACCTGCCCGATGGAAGGAACGAGCAGGAAGCGGAGGAAGAGAATCTTCCGCCCGGTGTTCCGCCATTGCCAGCCGGCGCGTTGCCAGCCGGCGCGTTGCCCATACCGCTTCGAGCTCGTCCCAGAAATTAGACGATCCGACATGTTTTTTTTTCCTTTTTTTTTTTTCCATCGAATCGTACGCTTTTCGACCGGTTGGTATCTTTCGTTTCGTGACGTAAAGCGGATTCCATTTCCGAAGGTTGTACGACGAAATACGAGGAGAGGCGCGATCTTTATTTTATTTTGGGAATCATTCTCTTTTGCAGTAGTACGAAAGTAGAAGGTGTCTCGTGAGAACCTTGAGAATCTTGTTCGTACGTTACGCACGAAAAAGAGGTTAAAGGATCGGAAAGAAAGAAGTTGTTCGACGAGAAGCGTTTTTAC